TCACATGGGTTTTGTGCTGGCAGTGATAAGCATCAGCAGTGTCTCCTGGTAACAATTTAAAATAACTAATAACTATGTTTGCTAACATATCTACCACGCGTGGTAATTGTGTCAAACATCCCTCAGGTGAAGCAATTTATGCGTAAGGCCTAAGTTCACCGTAGGTTTCTGATAGGCTATAATAATTGTGAATAACGATAAAACCACTTTAAAAATATTTCTGATAATGTAGGTTATACAATTTGTAGCGAATATATTAAAGGAGTGCCTATTGTGTGACCCCAAAGCGTCACCCCTCGAATAAATTTGGCCACTTGTTCAAATCATAACGTTATGATACAAATCACTATTAAAGTAATATAATTTATTTAATATACACTAGCTATCGCAAAAGAGGGGCCGCGGAACGTGCAATCAATGTAATTGCTACAGATTATTATTTATATATATTATTGCATAGTTTTTTGTTATTTTTTCTTTTTTATTTATTTTTTAGTTTTTTGTTCTTATCATGATATTAGCCCATGTATAGCGGGTTTATATGCACAATTTTCTCATGGACAAAAATCCAGACTAGGAAAATAAATTTGTACACCGTACCGCCGTTTCGTGCGGAATTCAAACCTGCGGCCCGCAACACTGAAGCTAAACGCTTTGTCACTGCTCTACCAGGCTATTTTTTATAAAAAATCAGTGAGAACTCGACCTGATTATAAGTGGCTTTTACAGATCATAGATACCTGCAACCAGCAGCAACTTTAAGCAAGAAAGGCTACAAAAGTCTTATCACCCATCAAAGATTATGTGCTATGTCTCTGAAGCAAGTATGTGTCCTAACTTGGTGACATTTTCATTGTTTTGACGTCCATTTAGAAGTTATTGTAATGAGTTAAAATTTCGGTAATTTAAATAATGTGATTAAAAAAAACCTAACTCATATGTCACTAAAAAGGATATTGATAGTGGAACAGATCGAATAGCAAACACTCTTTTTATTTTTATTTTTAAAGTAACAGCCTTAAGCCAATATTGGGTGGTTAGGGCAGCTCTTTATACACTTTATTTAGCAGATATGCAGGTTTCTCTTTTCTCGCTTTTCTCTCTTTCTGTCTTTACAATTGACAAAACTATTCACTCACAGGATTAACCGATCTAATGTTATAAATTTTAAGATATGAATTTTAAGAAAGTACATAAATATCTAATATATGAGTGAAAGAGTTAGGTTATAGAAATATTTTAAAATTATGTCTATTATTATATTAACCAAATATTTATTTATTATAGCCTGTCTTAAATTGCCCCACAAGAGGATTATTATGTTAATAAACCTATAAATATGTAAATTCTCGTTCATGCCTATAACTCCAAGTAAAAAAAACGAATGGTGTATATTTATTGAAATGGGTCATATCGTCATTTTTCCTTCCTACTAATTATTTGGAAATGAAACAAAGGCGGGGTGTGATCGGTAACTATACAATCCCTAGCCGTACACCCTACCTCACGCGTGAGTTTAGCACAAATTGTGCTTGCTTTTGAAATTCATGCACCTGTGCGTCGATACTATTGTGGTTTTGATAGGAGTATTTATCATTTCTAAGTTGCAATTGATATATTCGATATTGGTTGTTATTGAAATTGTTTAACAATTACTAATAATGATGAGAAAACGATGTTTTGTAATTTTATAGTCAATTCGAACTCGCTTCTTAATTTTTATTAAGTGAATGTAAAAATTTACAACAGTCAGACCACAACGCCACCTATCGGGCCCAGATTATATGATTTCCTTTTTTTGGTACTAAACCAACATATTATAATGTGAATATAAGTCACAATAATCCATAAATGTAGAATTTGTTATTAATTTTACTACCTTGCCTTCTATTGTAACCTAGCTTAGCTATCCAGAATCGTCTCGAAAAACAAATATATTGTGCAAATTTTGTGGAATTATTTGCGGATAAATACATAGATAAAGATAAATCGTGTCCAAATAAAATTTATTGATATGCATAGGTTAGTCCGTGCTGGAGTTTCTATAATTTGATATAATATTTCTTTACCTATGAAATTACCGTTCTGCAGTAAGAGAAATAATTTTTGTTTGGCTAAGAATTCTAATTTGATATAATTTTATCTTAAAAACATGGAATTCTTTTCTCGAAATTAGTCACTTGTTTATTGCTTAGCGTTATGTTTCATCGCATTTGAACTTTTTTCATCATCATGGATACGTTAAAAATTCGAGTAATAATGGAATATGAGTACCGTCGTGGCAATAACGTAGCACAAGCTGCACGCAGCATCAACGACGTTTACGTAGCGTTAGCGTTTATTGCAAACGAACGCACCATCTGTTATTGGTTTTCCCACTTTCGTTCTAGAAATGAACCCCATGGTTGTCCGGAAACTTTGGTCGACAATGATGAATTAAAGGTCATTGTGGAAGCTGATGATACTCAATCTATAGCCGAATTAGCTGTCCATTTATGCGTCAAATTGGTAGTGTAAAAAAGCTTGACAAATAGGTACCTCACGAACTCAATGACTGCCAGCCGGCAAGTACGCGTCGGACGTGCCATAGACTGTTGAACAAGCACACAAGCGAAAGAGTTTTGAACCAACCTGCGAAGAAAAATTGATTCTGTTTGACAATCGTAAGTGCTGCTACTAGTTAATAGGACACTAGGTGCGTAGGAGTAGATAATTTTTTAATACTGTATTACTGTATTTGTGAGACTATGATGATTCTTCTCACGACTCCATAAATTTTCCCTGCTGAACTTCGTCACCTAAAACAGCCCTAAACAGAAACTTACCCCTAGAAAAGTGAAGGACACTATTTGGTGGGTTAGCGTCGGTATGATTCATCACAGCTTCTTACCAAACGAGATGAGAATTACTGCAGATGTGTACTGTGAAGAACTGAGCACAATGATGAGGAAGCTTGTATATCTCCAACCAGCATTGGTCAAACGTTCGTCGCCGCTGCTCCTGCACAACAACGCGCTACCGCATACTATACTGGACTGTCTCCAAGTTATATGAACTAGGTTTGGAAGCGCTAGGTAGGCATCAATACCACCACTGCAGTGGCAAAGATGCATCTATTGCATGGGTGATTACTTTGATTGATAGAAATAAAAACTATAGAAAAGAACTACGTTAACTTATTTCATAAAAAATGGCCATTTAATGGGATTAAGATCTAGGAAAAAATAACTGAAATATAATCTCTATTTGTGACGCCCTCTACAAAGCTGATTGTAAATGTTGAGGACGAATAAAAAAATAATTAATGACTTTAATATAATAAAATAAAAACTATATTATATATGACAGATTATATCTATCTCTGGTGGTATAGTGGTAAAAATAGGATATATTTTTTCAAAATAATAACCTTTGTTTTCGAAGTATCCACATCACGCGGGGAGTATACGATATTAAAAAGGAACAAAGCAAACCGTTAAAGGCATGTAACTTTACGTGCCACACGCGGGCACTGCCTTGTAATTGTGATCTACCGCTCTCCCGGGAACACCGCCAGTACCGGCTGCACCTAATACGCTTCCCCTGGACGAGCCACCGAAAAATTGTTAGCGAAAGACATACGACCTGTTTGTGTAGTGAGATAGATAGCCTACAGTATATTGACAATTGATTTAGTTACGTTTTGTTGTTCATTTATTTAATGTGTATACACAAACATACATTTTGTTTAAAAATATGTTGTTACCAGTTTCCTATGTCCTATGGTAGTGTAACTTTGAATTATGAAATTCTTAGTTTTCTTAGTTTAGCAAAATAGCAATGCTATACACGATGAGTGGTTCACGACAATAGTCGAGGAGCAGATTCGAACACGCGTCTTATGAAATTCTTAGTTTTCTTAGTTTAGCAAAATAGCAATGCTATACACGATGAGTGGTTCACGACAATAGTCGAGGAGCAGATTCGAACACGCGTCCTTTGTCCTTTCTTGGAATGTGGTAACGTATTCTTTAATATTAAACTACTGTAACTACTTTAACTGTTACAGTAGTTTAGGATTAAATATTATTTTGCTAAACTAATAAAACTAATAATTTCAATATTCAAAGTTACACGGCCATAGGACATAGGAAACTGGCAACAATATATTTGTTAAAGTAAAAGATACAGTATATTTAAATACCACAGACATCTCCTTTCAATGCAGACAGGGTTATGAAGAGATTTGTCTACCGCGCTGCTCCAGTGCGTTTTGAAGAACTTTACATGATCTCAAAATATTTTTACGGAATACTTAGACAAGCGGGTTTCCTCACCATTTTTAAGCCCGTTGTAAATACTTCATTTCACTTCATACTTCATTTCAATTAACACAATTTCATTGGTGCCGTATATCGAACCGGGGCTGCTCATGTACTGTGAAAGTTAAAGCGGGCTACCACGGCTAAAAGTATTATTTTAAGAGTATCTATTAATTATTAAAATTAATTAAAATTAATTAAAATTAATTAATATAAATTTATTTGGCTTTATCTAATTATAATTATGACGCTTTTAATAAAAATATCAGTAAACCAATGATAGTTATATATCAGTTCTACTTTTATGAGGGGTTGTTCGCGTCCCAAGTACTTAGAATACTCATTTTCTTTTCAAAGTTGGTCAACAACATAAGCATATTGGTAAAACACTCACAACCAATCAACGTCACAACAGACTCACCCTTCTATTGAAAAAAAAAAAAGTGTTTGCACTCATAAAGAATGAGTGCAAATCTGTACAAGTATGATTGTTTGTGTTGCCATATCGTCCCTGAATACGGCTATTGTTGCCACCCCTGCTTTATTTACAATAAAATGTCTGATTTAACATGAATGCAGAAGTTAATTCAGCGCACGACAATAATGATCACGTCTCCCTCTCGCTATATTAATCCTCTTAATCGTTATAATTTTGACAGTATGATAAAAAAGAATTACAAAAAGCCTTTTTTTCCACAGATGGGCCATCATGGAATGGAAGGGCTCGATATGCTTGATCCGTTGACTTCTTCGTCTATGACAACATTAGCTCCTATGGGTGAAGCAGCGCCTCCACATCATCAGCTACATGGGTACGGTGCAATGAACCACGTTATGAACCACCATCATCACCCAGGTGGCTTAAGTCACGCTCCGCCTGCTCACTTAGGTCATCCAGCGGCTGCCCTTCATCCGGATACTGATACAGATCCACGAGAATTGGAAGCATTTGCGGAAAGGTTCAAGCAACGTCGAATTAAGCTTGGTGTTACACAAGCAGATGTTGGTAAAGCTCTCGCAAATCTGAAACTACCAGGCGTAGGAGCTCTCTCTCAGAGTACAATATGTCGATTTGAAAGCTTAACCCTAAGCCACAATAATATGATAGCCCTGAAACCAATTTTGCAAGCGTGGCTGGAGGAAGCAGAAGCGCAGGCTAAAAACAAAAGAAGGGATCCAGATGCACCCAGTGTACTTCCAGCTGGTGAAAAGAAACGAAAAAGAACATCTATAGCAGCTCCTGAAAAACGAAGTTTAGAGGCATATTTCGCCGTACAACCTCGACCATCAGGGGAGAAAATCGCCGCGATAGCAGAGAAGCTAGATTTGAAAAAGAATGTCGTTCGCGTATGGTTCTGCAATCAGAGGCAAAAACAGAAACGTATGAAGTTTGCGGCGCAACACTGACCGGCGGGGGGCGGCACGGCTCTCTTGTACCCAGGCGCTGGGTATGGATACTGAGTCGGCGGCCGCATTTGCCCTTGCCTTAGCTTCGATCAGAATGGGCCCATGCCTCGGCGTATTAGCGTCAAAATAACTTTTCATAAGCAATAATAAGATCTTGTTTTAGTCTCATTCTTTTAACACTCCCTCTAAAATAGACCGCAACTTATTACTAGTGTAGATATTGTTGTACGTCTCGAACCGATATTTAGTTTTCATAATGGTTACATCTCATATATTTTTAAAGACACAGGGTATATGAATCCTTATAAACATATCATAATGATAAATAGAAATCGCTTCAACGCCTATCGTTTTATTTTCATGCGCCGTCTTTTAATATGTTAATATATTAAACATACACATGAGAAGTTAAAAATCAGGATTTTTAAGAGAATGTGCCTTGCAAATATTCAATATTCTGTGTTTAATGTTAGTAATTTCATCACTGCGTGTTGCAGGTAACGGACACTTAAGGAATAATAGGTGTCCAGTTGAAACATACATCGAAATTACATTATAAAATGTACATCTGTACGTAGATTAGGATTTTAACACGCAGAAAATTGTTGTTGTAAAACAATATACACATATAAGAAAAAGAAACTTATCGTACATAAGTTACATTCGTAAATCTATGCATGTTATTATTCCTAATCTAGGAACGGGAATGTTTTTAATATAATGATATTTATTATGAATTTGTTAAGCTTTTTGTTCTTATTCTTTAAAAGTGTACAAAATAAATATAAGACTTTTATTTCTTGTATAAGTTATAGGTGTAGGTAGTCACGTTCCCAGTTTCAAAGAAGTACATATATTATTTTTATTTCTTTGAAGACTTTCTTTACATTTCACGTAATGGCACAATTTATAGAATAAGGAGGTTATTAGAGACATTTAGCCAAAATAGTATTAAAATCATTGTATATAAATCATATTTTGAATAAAAATTAGTCATTAGTCGAACTATGGTTACTAAACTGAAAGGAATTAGTACAACACTGGAAAAATCACGACTAAGTAATTTTGACAAAATTGAATTTAAGATATCATAAATACTATAATTTATAAATTCAACGTAATTAGTTTTTCATTTCTTATGCATGAAACTTAAATTCAAAATAAAGTGGGGAAACCACAAAGCTTAATAATTAAAAATAAAATGTTTGCAAATTATAAATAATATTTTTAAAAGGTATTTTGTAAATATAGGACACGAATATAAGTTAAGTAAAACATGTGCAATCTAGACCTCGGTAATCATTAATTATTTAATTATAATACTACTATATACTACTAGGAATTTATCGACATAACATATTTGTACCAAAGGTCATTTTTAATGAAATCTAGTCACTATTTATTTCTCAGAATGTTCATTTGTTTTATATGCAAATGAAAAATTTATATTTTTATTTCGTTCACGTGAAAATGTCGCGTTAAGTTGTTGACAGGTTTGTAGTATTTAATAAAATAAAATAAGTGAAATCGTATAATGGGTTTATGAAAATTTTGTAATTATGTATTGTGTTTATTCATTTATTATTATAAACTACATATAATTTGTAGCATTGTTCTGAAATTATTTTTATAGAAAAATCTGCTTTATAAAAATATTTAATTAAAAAGTTAAGGATCTAAGTCAAGTATATATTAAGTCTTAGTTTCGTTTAAACATATCCCGTAGATAAGCACGACATATCAGAAAACACATTAATGTGGTTTTATACGAAAAATTATAAATCAATTGTATATGCTTTCAGTTTAGAAATGTAAGCAACAAAAATCATTTTTAGGAAATTATTCGAGAATAGCGCATTGTGCTGTGATTGTGTAAGCGAGTATGCGTGAGACTGATTGTTTAAAGTTTATGTGAATTAAACACGAATATGCAATTTCTGAGATAAGAATATCACTCCTTGCTTTATAATAAATTTATTTGTTAAAGCAAATGCTTTATTTAATTTGGAAATGGATATATTAAACATATAAACTAAATGATGTTTCACTTGCAAACTATGACTCGAAAAATGGTATATCCTTAAAAAGCTATCAGCCGTGGAGTTGAATGACCTTTTTCTCTACGTACCGATATTATGTAAAAATGTAAAAAAACTGAAATTCTTGTATATAAATCCAATTTTTGATTTGTTATGATAAATGTGATTTTAGTCAACATCGATCGTACAATTTCTCTGATTTGATGATTATATTCATTTTTCCATAATTATATTATGTTACATATCGAAGGCTTGAAATACAAACCAAAATTGTAAAATAATAATGACTTTGCGTTAAAACGTCATTTAATATGTATATAACTGAATTATAAAACGAATTTGGCCGATGTAACTAACATAACGACATTTACTTCACCAAGCCAGCGCTAATTTTAAGTAGTTATTAGTAGTTTCTCTTGCAGTTTTTTGATTCTTAATTGTATGATTATTATTATAAATAAACAAGAAAGCTAATTTCAGAAACCAATAAACAATAAATTGAAAATAGAAATAATAGTATTCTCGTTGTTTTACTATTTCCCAATTTCCATATTAGACATAATGTGTCTAACGCTAAGAACAAAGTTTTATATGTTTTATGCAAGTAAGGGGCTTTAACACGCGAGCTCACATATCACTTTCAAGTGGATAAGGTGGTCTATGAATATACCCTACCATCAATAAAGAATAAAAAATGCAGATTCGTTGTCACTTCTGAGTACTAAATAGAATGCCTTGTTATCGGTTTTCATTACTCCCTATTCGAAAAATATCAGTATTATGCTGCTATTTAAAACTGGGTCCTTCGTCGGAAGTCGTCTATTCAAGCTACAAGAAGGATGTACCACATACCAAAACGCTTGTTATGAAGTTATAACAAATTAGAAACCCTGGATTTCAATTCCAGTCATATATATTATAACATTTTAAAAACGCATTAGTATAGTAAAGATTACACTATTGTGATTGCGTCGTAGAACTTGCGAGTTCTTCTGAATTTGCATCTTTTTTAACTTTTTTGCATAATCATACTTTAAAGGAGCAATTGTATATATTAGTTTAGTTTCTCAGAAACAGCTTAAAAATGAATTGTATCGATTTTTGTATAGTAAACATACATTTAAATAGTAAACATTTGCTAAACACAACAGGTAAGTTAGGGGGATAAATAAAAGATGCTACGAGTAAAGTAAATTAGTGATTTTTAGCGTTTTTGCCTATCTAAATATATGATTCACGCAAAAAATTTAAGACATGTTTTCGTTTAATGATAATTATAATAAAAAATAATTATAATCTACTTTTTATCTAGGTATAGAAGTGTTAAAAAGGAAAGCTATGTCTTTCAATCAATCAATCAATAATCCATAAGATTTACACCGGTATAAAATACAAGCCATATCAGCGCTAGTTGTGCAAATTTGGGATTTGTCAGCGTACAAGGGAAAAAGTACAAATAAGATAGTTGATCACATATAGAATTCATGAAAATTGCACAGAAACTGAGGCAACATGCCACCTTGTGGGACGCCAGCAACAGTACCCGAGGAATAGATATCCTGTACCTAAACACGCTGTCGGCTCCGCAACAAGTCTTTCTTTACTTTTGATGTTTATTTTCCAGCTGTTGACGATTCTTCAGTCCCAAATAGTATAATCTACCCAAAGCTTGTAAATGTATGCAAGCAATGAATATATTTTATTAAAGTTTAATAAGTTTGATGTAGTTCGGAACTGCTCTGATTATACTTCGTACATTTCAAAAAGTGTTATGTTTATCATTCAATGACTAATCTATAAAGTAATAAGGGTAGAGACTTTTATTAAAGTTGCTTGCTCCTTTCTAAAAGGCCGGCAACGCACCTACGATTCCGCTGGTTGCGTTGATTGTCGTCTTCATGCCCCAATGTGACATGTAGGGTTCGGGCCTCGGGGTATGCCCCCATTACCCGTGCTGTCCTCGCGGGCCACCACTATGGACCGGTCCTGGGAGCCTTCTAATGGCATTATAGGTGCAATTTTTTCGTAGTCGGTTAAGACTACGAAAAAATGAGGTTATCCAATAAAGTCAGAGTTGGCCTATCCGCGGCATTGAGGGTTGTTACTCGACTCTCTAATTGATATAGAGAGGAGTTCTCTTGGATAGGGTCGCCCGTCCGGATGGCGAGTGTGTAGCGGCGCAAGTTGATTTAGATGTATGTGCGGCCCGTTGTCTGCACGGTCGAACAGTCCGCGCGCCGGGCCACAAACTCCTGGATGGTGTCAATCTTTAGGTTGGCCGCTATGACGTCATTCCGGACGTAGCGACCCGCACCGACGATGGTTCGTAACGTTAGATTTTGCTGGGCCTGCAGTCGCCGCCTCAGAGGCTCGCTCAGAAGCGCGTACCAGGCCGGAGCAGCATACGTAATGATGGATCTAATATATGTTTTGTAGACTCGCACTTTGGTGTTAAGTGGTAACTTGGATGCCAGGACCGGACGTAGCATCGCCCGCGCACATCGTGCTCTGCGGACGACGAGGTCGACGTGCGCAGTCATGCGCAGCGCGCGGTCGATCCGGCACCCAATGTAGGTCACGGCCTTCTCGTACGTGATCTTCTGACCATTGAGGGTTAGCTGAGGTGGTAGGTTCCTGAGGCGGCGAGTGAGTAGAGCGGTCGTCTTACCAATGTTGACGACCATCCTCCACTCATCTAGCCATGGTGGCAGCAGGTCCAGGAGACGTTGCATCCTGGCAGTGGCAATATGGGCTCTTCTGGACGAGGTGAAATAAGCACTATCGTCCGCGTATAACGCCAATTCCACGTCATCCTCCCACTCTTGCAGCCTTCCCGCCAGGGTAGGGATATCGTTGGTATAAGCCGCGTACAGGACTGGAGACAAACAGCTGCCCTGAGGAACGCCGGCTCTGATGGTTCTGGTTGCGGACTCGGCGCCCTCTACGCAGACGTAGAACTTC